AAAAAAAAAAAAAAAGACCTGGAAGAATATCTAATAAGATGTTAACAGTGTCAATCTTTGGGTGGTACAAATAGGGCATAAATATTGTGATATAGTAAAGTTTTCTGACTTGTACTTTCAAACTGCTTTTTGTTATTTATGTATGTATGTATGTATACATGTATGTATGTATGTAATTTATTGTCAAATTGGTTTCCATACAACACCCAGTGCTCATCCCAACAGGTGCCCTCAATGCCCATCACCCACTTTCCCCTCTCCCCCACTCCCCATCAACTCTCAGTTTGATCTCAGTATTTAACAGTCTCTTATGTTTTGCCTCCTTCCCTCTCTGTAACTTTTCTAACCCCCTTCCCCTACCCCCTGGTCTTCTGTTGAGTTTCTCAGGATCCACATGAGTGAAAACATATGGTATCTGTCTTTCTCTGCCTGACTTATTTCACTTAGCATAACACTTTCCAGTTCCATCCACGTTGCTACAAATGGCCAGATTTCATTCTTTCTCATTGCCAAGTAGTATTCCATTGTATATATAAACCACATCGTCTTTATCCATTCGTCAGTTGATGGACATTTAGGCTCTTTCCATAATTTGGCTATTGTTGAAAGTACTGCTATAAACATTGGGGTACAAGTGCCCCTATGCATCAGCACTCCTGTATCCCTTGGGCAAATTCCTAGCAGTGCTATTACTGGGTCATAGGGTAGCTCTATTTTTAATTTTTTGAGGAACCTCCACACTGTTTTCCAGAGCGGCTGCACCAGTTTGTATTCCCACCAACAGTGCAAGAGGGTTCCCATTTCTCCACATCTTCTCCAGCATCTATAGTCTCCTGATTTGTTCATTTAGCCACTCTGACCGGCGTGAGGTGGTATCTCAGTGTGGTCAAACTGCTTTTTAAAAAAAGTTTATTTATTTAAGTACTCTCTACATCCAACACGGGGCTCACACCTACAACTCTGAAATCAAGAGTTGCATGCTCTCCCGACTAAGCCAGCCAGGTGTCACTCTAACTGCTTTTTAATAATAAAAGGTTATTTTAATTTTAGAAATCTTGTGGAGAAACCTGTCATTTAAAGGAATGTTTTAAAAAGGGGTAATTATCTCTTAATTTACTTGTTTCATAAAATGGAATTTTTTAAAGTAAACTCTACCCCCAACATGGGGCTTGAACTCATAACCCCAAGATCACTAGTTGCATGCTCCACTGACTGACCCAGCCAGACACCCCTATAATATGGATTTTTATAGTTAATATGGGACCAGGGTACATGCTATTTGGGGCAGTACCTTAAAGTTTGTTATATCAGCCCCTGACTATAATCACACATTTTCTCATCCAAAATATGTAACAATTCATACCAAAAGGGTACAGATACACATTTGTTTAGTTTTGTTTAAACTCTGGGCAACTCCTGGAGGTCAAAAGCTCTAAGAATACTCACCATTCCCATAAGCCCAGTCATCATTCATGCGGTGGCGTACTTTCTGGTAGATGGCCGACATGGTTTTCATGTTGCTTTTTCTCCACTGGCGCCCCAAGTACTTGGTCTGTATTTTTAGCAGCTTCAGAACATAAAGTTGCAGCATGGCCTGTTTGACCTTGAGGGCCCGCTTTAAGATTGGAGCTGATTTGAATACCACCAGCATCTACCAATTTAAAGAAGGGTGGGAGTGAAGAGAGGCAGATAAGGATCTAAAGTTTCTTGGAGCTCCAACTCACAGACAATCCTTTTTTTTTAATGTTTATTTTTGGGATGGAGAGAGAGAGACAGAGCATGAGTGGGGAAAGAGCAGAGAGGGAGACACAGAATCTGAAGCAGGCTCCAGGCTCTGAGCTGTCAGCACAGACCTTGATGTGGGGCTCAAACCCATGAACTGTGAGATCATGCCCTGAGCCAAAGTCGGACATTTAACCATCTGAGCCACCCAGGCACCCCAACTCACAAATTAAGCCAAGCCTGCTGGCCTCAATACTCCAGGGAGCTTTTGGGAATCTATGGTCCAGGTTCTCTTTACATTTAGTCTTTAAGAATATAGAGGAATCACTCCATTTATATGTCACAATTCAAAGTTTCTAATATTCAAAGTACATGATATAAAGAGCAAAATAATTCTGTCAGCCACACGTCCCATTTCTACTGTTACAATTTCTCAAGAATCTTCTGGATACATAATTCTTTGTACACATACATTATTTTTATTAACAAAAACAACAGCTAGCTACATAACCTGTCATATTGTTCCATACCTTGCTTTTTATTTAACAATAGATCTTGAAAATTGTTACACATCGGTATAGAATTGCCTCGTTCTTTTTTCCTGCCTCATTCTTTTTAATGGTTATATAATATTTTATTATAAGGATGTACCAACACTATTTATCCAGTTGGTCCTGTATTAATAAGCTTTAGGTCATTTCCAATCTTTCATAATTCATGCTGCAATGAATAATCTTAAGACTTGCATCATTTGGGATGTGTGATTATAATCCAAATAACAATGTTAACTTTCCAACCAGAGCTGCTCTGGGGGAGGGTCCATATTCAGCTCCTTATAAAGAAATAGACTGGTGAATAATTATCTCATATAGAATAAGTGCCCAGAATTGGGAGGTGTTCACCTTATGTGGCATTTAGTGCCTATCTATAGAGTTCACAAAGCAGGAAGTCCATAAATATTTACAATTTAAAAAATTCAGTCAGATAGGCACCTCCATGATCTGAAGCCCCACTCACCATGGTTCTGGAATGCTTCCATTTGGTCAGTTTATTGAGCAGCCTCAGAAGGTTGATGCAGGAAAAGAGGTTCCTCCAGCAGAACTGGTTGTTGTCTCCAGCTTCCTGTAATAAGGCAGACCCCCCATTGTGTCAACACCTACAAGGCTTTCATTCCCACAGAAACCTGGAAGTCACAGTTGGTCAGTTTAGGTGAGGCTTTCCTTATGAAATGCTACCTCCTCATCATTCTGCTCTTCACACACTAAGGCCTCAAAGCATGAAATACCCTTCATCTGAAAACACACGGCTGCCAATCCTGGAAGACTGTACCTAGAGCAAGAATTGGTTAGAAAGAGGACACATGAACATAGGAACTTCACTCAAGCCAGCCTTCTTGTGTAACTTTCTGTTTTAGAATCAGAAAAGAGATGATAGAATTTTACCTCCATATACTTTGCACTTATATAAGCTGTATTTGTAACTGCTAGGACTTATTCTGGTAGATTTCTTTCTCTCTTTCTCTTTTTTTAAGTAGGCTCTCTGCCCAACACGGGGTTAGAACTCATGATGCCAATATCAAGAGTCACATGCTCTATTAACTGAACCAGCCAGGTGCCCCTATTCTGGTAGATTTCAAACTATTTTTGGATGGATCTGATATTCATTATGATTGAATTTCTTTAATCACCCCACCCTCCTTTATCAAACCCCATTGCAGTAAATAGCTTGATTCTCCAGCACGGAAGCAAAAATGGCAGATGGTTAATTCTAACCAGGTGTTTCTCTTAACATGTTTATTGATAGCTTGTGAGCACCCAACCAGAGATAACAGATGGATGTCAGATTAGAAACAGGTATCTACTCACAGAAACATCTTTCAGGGACAAAAATAAGAGTGCTTCTGGATTTGGGGGCTGTAAATATACTGGTGTCAGAAGTTATATAAATCAATGAGTATGCATGGTGGCCAAACTAACATCTTGGAAATTATTCATGTCTACAAATTGATAGGAGAAAGTAGGAGTAGGAGATGATGTGTAGAAGTGAGCTGTCGTCTGAAGAATGGAAAATTATCCTCTGCTGCTTTCCCAAATTAATCTGAAGCAAGCAAGATAGGCATACATCCAATGTGGAACAAACCTCCAGGAATTTTGAGAGTATTAGAATCTAATACTAGATTCTAATAAATAAGACTAAGGGTCAAAAAGTTTCATAGAAACTTTTTAGAAATATTATTTAAAAATAATGTTCTCTTTTCTGTAGTAAATGTTCAATATTGTGTTTCGAACTAGTCCCTGGAGAACCATCTGTTTCCTTCTAAGAGAAACTTCTATGGGAGTTTCCATTCTAGTGCATCAGCTAGTCAGCTTGCCCAAAACAGATAGGTTCTACAGATGTTCCATCTTGTGTGGTTAACAGAGGAATGGACTCTTAAATGTTTATTTATTTTTTTAAAGAAGCAAGGGAAACAGAGAACATATGGGAGAGACTAAGTATATCTCCACTGTAAGCTTCCTTTATCTTGATTTCTAATATGCTAGCATAAAAAGCCTTGCATTCCTTAGCACCTCAAAATATAATACGGGGGGTGCTTGACTGGCTCAGTCAGTAGAGCATGTGACTCTTGATCTTGGGGTCTGAGTTCAAGTCGCACATTGGACATAGAGCTCATGTTAAAACAAAATAAAACAAAAGTATGGGAGTAGGGGAGTGGCCTCGTAGAAGCAGCATTGGAATAGACACACTAGGACACCTGGATTATGGCTTTGGCCTTGGCTGTATGACGGTAGATAAATCATTTCCCTGCTTCTTGTAAGAGGCTGAACTAGATCATCTTTAAGATTCTTCCACCTCTGGGGCGCCTGGGTGACTCAGTCGGTTAAGCATCCGACTTCGGCTCAGGTCATGATCACAGAGTTCGTGGTTCAAGCCCCACATCAGGCTCTGTGCTGACAGCTCAGAGCCTGAAGCCTGCTTCAGCTTTTGTGTCTCCCTCTCTCTCTGCCCCTCCCCTGCTCATGCTCTGTCTCTCAAGTAAATGAAAACATTAAAAAAAAAAAAAAAGATTCTTTCACCTCTGATCATTCAATAACCCTGTGATTTACTCTGACTTTCTCCACTTGGCTCAAAAGTGAAGTTTTAAATGAAAGTAAGCTGATCGTGGCTGCCTTTTCCTCAAAGCTCACTCTCAAGAGTCCCAGGAAAGACATCTCAGTTCCCTCCTGAAGATAGTCTCATCTGCCCAGGGCCTTGCTCTTTTCTTTCTGATAATACTTCCCCACTGACTAAAACCAGCCTCACTTCCTGCATCACCAGATGCTGCCTGAAGTGGGCACTGAAAGAACACATGCTAGTCAAAGGCTCTCTCAGGACAGCCGCTCCCAGGCTTGGTGTCTGTTGGCAGCAGCAGGCTCTACATGAAGCCCTGCTCAAGCCTTCTGCCTTGTTCCAACCTAACAGACAATAATTTTCCAGCAGACCTTTAGTTCCATGGGGTGTCTTTTCAGATTTGCCAGACATGAGGGATTTTTTATTTATTTATGTTCACTCAAGGCAAATCACCTTCTTTCTCTTTTTTGGGGAGGGCAGGACTCAGCATATTGATTAAGATGTATACTTTTGTAGGGAGATATATATTGTGAACAGCAGCACTTGGTCATATTCTCTTGTTTCTGATACTTCACACTATCCAAAGCAAGACCTTAACTCACCTTCTACCAGCGAAAGTTAAAAAAGAAAACATATGCCCATGTTTCGGTAGCATAAGCATATGTTTACAAAAATAATTCCACTTAGACTTGTACCCAAAATAATAAAATGCCTAGGAATAAACCTAACCAAAGAAGTGAAAGACCTGTACTCTGAAAACTATAGAACACTGATGAAAGAAACTAAAGAGGACCAAAGAAATGGAAAGGCATTCCATGCTCATGGATTGAAAAAAAAAAGTATTATTAAAATGGCCATACTACCCAAAGCAATCTACGGATGCAATGCAATCCCCAACAAAATACCAACAGCATTTTTCACAGAACTAGAACAAACAACCCTAAAATTTGTATGGAACCGCAGAAGACCCTGAATAGCAAAGCAATCTTGAAAGAGAAAAAACTGGAGGTATCACAATTCCAGACTTCAAGTTATATAACAAAGTGGTAGTCATCAAAACAGTATGGTACTGGCACAAAAACACACAGATCAATAGAACAGAATAGAAAATCCAGAAATAAATCCACAATTAAATGGTCAATTAATTTTTTTTTGGTCAATTAATTTTTGACAAAGGAGGAAAGAATATACATTGAGAAAAAGACAGTTTCTTCAACAAATGGTGCTGGGAAAACTGGACAGCTACAGGCAAAAAAATAAAACTGGACCACTTTCTTTTACCATACAGAAAAATAGGCTCAAAATGGATAAAAGACCTACATGTGAGACCTGAAACCATAAGAATCCTAGAAGAGAGGACAGGCAGTAATTTCTCTGACATTGGCGGTAGCACTATTTTTCAAGATCTGTCTTCTGAGGCAAGAGCAACAGAAGCAAAAATAAACTATTGGGACTACATTAAAATAAAAAGCTTCGGGGCGCCTGGGTGGCGCAGTCGGTTAAGCGTCTGACTTCAGCCAGGTCACGATCTCGCGGTCCGGGAGTTCGAGCCCCGCGTCAGGCTCTGGGCTGATGGCTCAGAGCCTGGAGCCTGTTTCCGATTCTGTGTCTCCCTCTCTCTCTGCCCCTCCCCCGTTCATGCTCTGTCTCTCTCTCTATCCCAAAAATAAATAAATGTTGAAAAAAAAATTAAAATAAAAAGCTTCTGCACAGCGAAGAAAACAATCAACAAAACTAAAAGGCAACCTATGGAATGGGAGAAGATATTTGCAAATGACATGTCTGATAAAGGGTTAGTACCCCAAATATATAAAGAACTGATACAACTCAACCCCCAAAAGACAAATACAATTAAAAAATGGGCTAAAGACATGAACAGACATTTCTTCAAAGAAGACGTATAGCTGGCAACAGACACATGAAAAGATGCTCAATATCACTTATCATCAGGGAAATGTAAATCAAAACTAAAATGAGAGATCACCTCATACCTGTCAGAATGGCCAAAACAAAAAACATAAGAAACAACGAATGTTGGCAAGGATGTGTAGAAAAAGGAACTCTCTTACACTGTTGGTAAGAATGCAAACTGGTTCCTCAAAAAGTTAGAAACAGAACTACCCTATGATACAGTAATCATACTATGTGGTATTTACCCCCAAAATACAAAAACACTAATTCAAAGGGATACATGCACCCCTATGTTTACTGAAGCATTACTTACAATAGCCAAGATATAGAAGCAGCACAAGTGTCCATCCATAGATAAATGGCTAAAGAAGATGGGGTGTATATATATATATATATATATATATATATATATATATATATATAAAATGGATTATTTTTCAGCCATAAAAAAGAATGAAATCTTGCCATTTGAAACAACATGGATGGAGTTAGACAGTATAATGCTAAGTGAAATAAATTAGAGAAAGACAAATACCATACGATTTCACTCATAAGTGGAATTTAAGAAACAAAATGAATGAGCAAAGGAAAAAAGAGAAAGACAAACTAAGAGACTCTTAAGTATAGAGAACAAACTGAAAGTTACCAGAGGGGAGGTGGTGGGGGAAATGGGTGAAATAGATGATGGAGATTAAGAGTACACTTATCATGATTAACACTGAGTAATGCGTAGAATTACTAAATCACTATATTGTACACCTGAAATTAAAACCAAAAACAACTAAAAAATTTTACTTACATACACCTGAGGTCTAAAAATTCAGTTCAGGGATCACATCCTACCCTTTCATAGCATCTCGAAGGCACTACAAAGATTCTGTTCTCAAGATCCATCTTAGCCCAGCTGACTGAGCCAAGCCAAATAAAAACAGAGGCTTACGCCAGTTATGTGGATAATTAACTCAAAAGACTGCTGAAAGAACAGAGTGTTTCTTCCTTTTGTACTGAGGAAATCAAATTGGTTGGAATCTGAGCACTAAAAGAGACTCAGCTTTTAGACTTGGCTAAGTCTAGTCCAATTCTGTCATCCACAGAAGCAAAAC